CCGTGGCGGAGCCGGGCCGGTCACGCACGCTCCCACCCCCGGGGCCCCCGGTGGGCTCCCACCCCCGCTGAGCCCGCCGCTGCACCCCAACAGGCAAAGTGCCTCTGCCCGCTCTGCCGGGCCGGGCAGGGGTCCCGCCGGGCTGCCCGGGGGTCTGCGGAGGTGTTGGGTAGCCCTGTCCGCCCCCGCCCCGTGTGACCAGCTGCTCTGAAAGCCCCCTCGAACAGGGGACACCGCGTCCAGCCTGCTTACCCTGCGGTCCTTGCACCGTGTCCCCACTATGTCCCCACTGTCCCCAGGACTCTGCAGTGTCCCCACTATGTCCCCACTGTCCCCACTATGTCCCCACTGTCCCCAGGACCCTACAGTGCCCCCACCATGTCCCTGCTGTCCCCAGCACTGTACAGTGTCCCCACTGTCCTTGCACCATGTCCCCACCATGTCCCTGCTGTCCTTGCGCTGTGTCCCCACCATGTCCCTGCTGTCCTTGCGCTGTGTCCCCACCATGTCCTGGCTGTCCCCAGCACTGTACAGCATCCCCACCACCCTTGCACCATGTTCCCACTGTCCCCAGCACCCCCCAATGTCCCCGCTGTCCCACCACAGCCAGCGTCTGACCCTGCTCCCAGGGGTGAAGGGGACCAGCCACCCGGCACCCCGGGGCTGATTGTGCCGGCAGCCCCCAGCACCGCTGTGCGGGGGAGGGGGCTGCTGGGCACCAGCAGGATGAGGCCCCAGGGGATGGATCCGGCCGGGTTGTGGCCACTCACTGGCCCCGGTTCCACGGGAAACCCATGGTCCCTTCCTCCATACATGCAGCAATGTGCCGGGGCACCAGGATGTGGCTGGGGGGCTGCGGGGTGACAGGGCAAAGGGCTGGTGGGTGCCCACCATCCCCTGGCACTGCCAGTGTCTCTGGTGCGGAATGTGCCCCAGCTCTGCGGGGCTGTTCCCGCAGCGATGCCTGCCCATGGGGTTTCGCCACCACCCTTGCCAGAATGCCTGAGCTGATTACACAGCAGTTCTGGGAGCAAAACCCTCCCCGGCTGGGATCAGCTGCTTGGCATGTTCCCCCCCCAGCCTGCTCCCGCTCCCCCCGGGCCATCCTGGGGTGGCCGCAGCTGCACCCCATGCCAGGGTGGGCACACCGTTGGCCCTGTGCCGTGCTCCCCTGGCCCCCGCCTGCTCCCGGCTCTGGCTCCCCACTGCCAGGAAACCCTGAGCACTTCCCAGTCCAAGGTGGGCATGCTCACAGCCAAGGCGGCCGGAGGCAGCCGCAGAGGGTCAGCCCTTTCCCACAGTGACGGCAGGGAGGGCTGCGAGGGGCTCCACCATCCCTGCCTCGCTGCAGCCGTCAATGCTGCCGGCCGAGCCCGGGGACCCGGGAGGCCCCGTGAGCCGCCTGCACGCAGCAGAGTCTGTCCGGCCTTCGCAGCCAAGTCCCGGCGTAGAGCAGGCGCGGAGCAGAGAGATCCAGCCGTAGCCTCCGGCCCTGCCAGGCGGTGGGGACACCCTGCCCGGTGCTCTGCCCGGGACGGACCCCCGGGGAAGGTGGTGCCCGCAGTGCCCAGAGCATCCCCCGTGGGACTGTGGGAGCGGGGCATCGAGGGGAGGGCATGGGCAGTGCCAAAACGCCGTGCCAGCACCGCGGCAGGTGTGAGCAGGCCCTGCCGAGCCCCAGGTCACCTCCTTGCCCTGCCTGCCCCCCAGCACCTCCTGCTGAAGCCCGCAGTGAGGTTTGAGGTGTGTGCGGTGCCGGAGCTGCTGGCTGGGCAGTGCTGGACTCGCTTCCCCGCGCAGGCGGTGCCAGGCTCGGCACTGCCCGGGCTGCTGCCGTGGGGAAGGAGCGAAGCATCGCAAGGACGGAGGTGTGGGCAGGGGTCGGCAGCCCGGTGGGGTGCCCAGGTGGGAGGTGGGGGTCCGGGCTGGGGTGCCCAGGGGCCTCTGTCCCAGTGAGGGGGAAGGAGTCTGGGTCCTGCCTCTCCCCGCACCCCGAGCAGGATCCTCTAAAAAGCCACAATGCTGCTGCTGGCACTGCCGCCAGCCTCCCATGAGCTCATTTTCCACCCTGAAAGGACTTTTGCGGCCTGACTTTTACTTCTTTTATTGGGATTTTCTACAGCCTCCAGCACAGGGCTGGGCTCGGGCCACTGGCACCCTTTGGTGGCAGCTGTGTGTTCACCCAGCTCATGCCTGGCTGGAGCGGGCAGGGGAGTGGAGCTGGTCCCATCCCTGTCCCCATCCTTGTGTCACAACCCGGAATGGACAGACCAGGGAGTCGTGTTGAATTCGAAATTCCCTCGGGCTAAATTAAGGTGAAAGGACACCAAACGATCAGTTAAAGATTTTATTCGTGACAGAAGCAAGCGGAACTGGGGAGGCGTGATAGTAGGTGGTGGGGTTTCTCACAACAAGAATTGGCATGAGACTACTTCTGTAAACCGTGTAACCCCAGGTAAGCATACACATCAATTCAGGGAATACGGAGATCCCTCCTGTCGAGTCAGGAGGTTCAGAGCAGACCCCCTTGCTTTCTAGACCCCTCCTCAGAGAAGGGCCCAGGAGCAGCTGGATCCACTCTTAGTCCCAGACTTGGTCAACAGTTTTATGTCTTAAAGGGATGCGGTGTAGGGATTGTGGAAAAGGAAAGAGAGAACAAGACAGAGAGAGAAAAAGAGAGAGATTTCACGGGTCCTGGGTCCAGCGCCGGTGCAGTCAGGCAGCCGAGGGGTCCAGCACCGGGGGGCTCGCGCACGTGGGGCTTCAGTTTGTGTCCTTTTATCACCCTTGCCCCCT